GCTGCGCTGCGCTTTGCTGAACAAGTCCGCTGGCTTTCTGGGAACAATGTGAAAAGAACAAGCACAATTGCACATTTTAGTCAGCTTATGAAGTCCGAACCGATTGTTTACCAAACCCCTCTGAAAGAATGTAGATAGTTTTGGTACCCCAAGCTGCGCTTTGCTGAACAAGTCCGCTGGCTTTCTGGGAACAATGTGAAAAGAACAAGCACAATTGCACATTTTAGTCAGCTTACTACATGAAGTCCGACAGCAGTTTTCAGATTATTTGTCAGTGGCGAACAACCTGACAAGCTGCCACCTGTTGGTGCTATCCGTTTGCACTCAGTTTACCCGTACTATAACTCAGGTGGCGAATCCGTCCACCCGACTCTTTTTGTCACGGCCCAGGATAGGAGTAGAGACTCGAAGTCATACTGGTGAAAGGAAGGCCTTCACTGCGGAGTTATTTATTCGGAAATGCCAACTGACCGGTTACAGACCATTGAACAAGGAAGCAAAACTCTAATCTGCATCTTAGTATTGAATCAATAATCTGTTTTCAGCCTATCGGATTACTTGGTTTACTTGGTTAGATAAACCTATGTGTTCCAGACTGGCATCATCTGAACACGTTAAATTTTCACAGTATAAAAGGGCTAAAAATTTCATGACAAATCATTTGACAACAGAACTTTTGTAGATGTGGGCGAAGAGGTGGACTATCATTTTATTGTTTGCTTTTTGTGGTTACGGTATGTATTCATAGATGTGAGTATTTACTTTTGCTCTTGTGTGATACACCAATGTTAGAATATTTCTCTGTTGATGTTTAGGGCACTTTTGTGATCACCGTTTATAGAGTCAAACAGCATTTGTTTCAGCTGATTGAAGAAAAATCATCTATCCTATGCGGATTTTATCCCCAGAAAAGTCTGTGCTCACGACAGAAGGAATTCAGAAACAAATGCACTCAATTACATTTGGGGCACAATTAAAATCAAGATAGCATTCGAATCCGTTTCTCCAGATGAATAAGGATCTTTTTAGTTTCGCTGCGAACCACAAGAACGTTTTATCGGGACCATTACTAGTCACACTCAGAAACACTCAGAATCTGTGGGTTGTTTGACAGACGTGAAACAGAATCGGAACCATTGTCGTGAACAATTGGTCTCAAGAAGGCTGTGGGATTCTGCTGTTCTCGTTAAACAGAATCTGTGGATCTAACATGTGGTCGTTAGACTGCTTACATTCTGTACGCCAAAAGGATATATATAAATATTTTAGGAAAGTCCGAGGTTTACCATGGGCAAAGTACTATAACAAACAGCTATCAGGCCTGGAGCACAACCGGTGATATGAAATATGTGAGCAGATTCGGCACATTGTTCAGAAACAAACTGAAATTCACCTTATTGCAAGGATGCAGTTTTTGTTCAGAATAGTGTAACTTTATTTATAAAAGTTGCAGGTAGTTACTGAGAATAGTTATCCTTGAATTTGATGTGACGCCGGCATGCTTAGGACCTAACGTGTGTGCACTGTACAACCATGCTTTCGTTCGATAAACGTCTATTCCATTCGTTTGTTTCTAGAAAGGTGTGCGACCGAAAGCGACAGAATTACAGTTGCATTAAGAATCGTACCAGAAAATGGGAGTAAAGTGCACTTTGAGGGTTCTTTCGGCAGAGTAAGTGTGATAAGCCCCAAAGTTTTTCTCATTCACAAAAGAATGCAATTCTCGCGCCATTTTATTTCACAGAATGTTGAGCAAATCTAATGAAAAGTAGCCTTGGACCAAAACGCAAAGCGAGTTTTCTCAACGAAATAAAACGGTTTCCAAATATGTTAGAGGCTACCAAATATCTGGAGATAAACTTTCCAGAATGTAAACAGGGTTCTTAATGGCCGAGGTTATATCCTTCTTGTGAACGCAAACGATGGATTTTGAATGTAGGCAGAGAAAGATGAGGTTTCTGTGTATACATTGAAAAACTCGTCTGCGTTTTCACCTGGATTGGTGTTTTGAGCCCCAAGCAGAAGCGCACTTTGATTAATGACGGTTATGCGACTCACTTTTACAATTTACAAGCTGGTCTCATCTACTGACGAATATATTTCACACATCATAGCTACAGTTAAACGAAAATGTCACAGAGTAGAGAAAGTAAATGAAGCTCAATCGGGATATTGTTCAAAACACAGTTTACTAAATAAGAACATCCTCAGGTACATCATCGGGGTTGTTTTATAGATTCCGATGTTTTAAAGTGATGAAACCCCAAAATCCTTGACCCAATCCAATTCAAGTTATTCCCAACTGATTACTTCCAGGATTCAGTCCCAGCAAACATCTGGCTTCCATGTACCAATCAAGTAACTCTGGGTTCAAAACGGTTGCTAGGAGAACAAAACGCAACATTTACACCCATCCAACTCAGGCAAAAGCCTTCGTAGATGAGTGAGCCAGATACATATTTTTGGGTCAGGAGCTAGCCATTGGATTGGCGAAGATTAAACAATTTTTGATGGTGAAGTGAAAAAGAAACAAAGACAAAAAACCGAACGAGAAACTTCCGCTTTTATAATACCACCGAATGAAGTAAGCTGGACAACAAGTCCTTAGACATTATACTTGGTTTTATCCTTCCGAAGAATGTTATTAGAGGATGAAAAGCCAAAGAGCATCATGCGGCTACATAGTCAGTTTTTAGAGACTTAGCAACAGTACGGTTCAAAGTACGGGCATTTTGAGCAACAGCCCTCTAGTTCTTCACTGAAATTTAAACCATTTGACTGGGGGTATTGACCAAACATGTATATAGATTGTATATAGGTGTTACTTTCACTTCAGGATTTCTGGTGCTTCAATAGATCCTCAAGTGAGGAACAGCCAGATGAAGAATTATCGAACTTGTAGAGTTTTCTTTTCTGACCTGTTAACTTTTAGTCTGTATTTGGTGGAAAGATTCCTCCGCCAGTATTTCGGATTCTGTTGAGCTTATTAGGAAGCGTTACGCGATATTTCATGAGAAATGCCAGATTCGCTCAATATAAACTGGTAAAGATCAGTTAAAACCGTCTTTTCCTGTACTTTCAGACTGATCCTACGATTTTGACAACCCCATCTTATGTAAGTTGACAAAGAGATGTACACTATTTAAACGGCGTAAAATTCCCTGTTGTTTTCATTAGCTCCATAAACTAAAAACCCACTGCGATACAAATCATTCTTCAATCAGTGAATGAAATGCAGCAAAAAACCGTATTATCTTAAGAGCAATTTTTGTATCACATCTATATATTCGGGACTAGTTTTGGTAATCTGCTTGCAACTAAAGTTCACCAGATTCATTGCAACTGAACCGCACAGTATTGTTTGCACATTCAGGTTATCATACTGTGAATGGCACACAGGCTTCTTATTTCCAAATACATCGTGTGGTCTTTTTCATAGATTTAGTATCTATAATAGGAAGTGATTCTGTCTTTCACAAGAATAGTAGGAGCTCTTTAGGGAATTGCGTGTAACTACTCTGCTTATACCAAGAGAAAGACAAACTGAAAACACTAGAATAGTGAGCTCTCTGTAGTCAGAATAGTGAATTATTACTCGGTTGGTTTTTTGACTAGAGATGCGCGGGAAAATATAGAACACAATGAAAATGTAAAAGGAGTCCAATCACGGCAGAGTGATGGTTTGTGATTAGTTGATTCAAACCACGAATGTTTATCGCAATTTTTGGTATTTTACCAGCTCCTACAGGGCGAATGAACCTAATAAACGGTTACTCTCAAATGATGGATGGGCTGTGATGATGAACTTATTTAGTTTATCTAAGAATACAAGCAGTGTGGATCAGCCAACCAGTCATAGCTGGTGAGGGCTCATGCTGCCCACTTATAGAACTAAATGAACCTGCAGTTAAATTTCCATAAATTGTTCAGAATCTAGCTGTTCTGGCGTAATGATTGTAAGGGTAAGATACAATTATTTCCGACCACAAAATCGTATAATCCATGGTACAAATTCATGTTTAGGTATGAATTGTTTCCGTTGTAAATGTTCAGAGAGTTATAAATTCTTATGGCTACTTGGACGATCTCTCCAGCACATGTGGGAACAGAAAACCCTGCTGACTTACAACAGGATGGTTTAACTGTGCGAACTGGACTTGCAATTAAAGCAATTGCATGCTTCATTAACAATTGAAAGTAAATAATTATAGCCTTGACTTTCACAATAAACTATTCAGTTTACTTTTCTTGACATTTCAGGACACCTCGTCAGGCCAGGTTAGTTTTCTTTTGAAAACCAGGTCCACTTTTATTTGGTTGATCCTCAGGAAGAGTCGGCAAGGTAGTCGGTTTTGCATGAATATCGTACGTATCATAATTGCGGTAGTATGTGTATGTTAATAACATGGATGTTGGATCAGGATTCCGCTCGCAGGTGGAAAAAGTTCAACACATTTTCATTTAAATACAAGCTGTAAATTCCGGCGAGGGAATTATTCTTAGACCTTCCCCTCTGTTATCACTAGTGAGTGTTCATTGATTTCTTCATGTGCTCAGATTTGCACATTTAACTTATTTCTTGAAACGTATGAAGTAAGGTTAATATTATTAGTGAATTGATGCCTCATGATGCCGCCCACTTAATCATGTGCAAACTCTACTAATTCAATGTCATCTTCGACGAGGGGGGGTTTTTTGACGTAACATTTGCGCAAGCAACTCATCGTGAGAGGTTAAATTACACGGCATTGATTTTTATGTCGTTGCAGTAACATAGGAATGTGACGGTTTTTGGTGCTCAATTGAAAAGGTACTTTGCTATGCTTATGTAAACAATATCGTAGTTTACGTTTGGCGTTGCAAGATATAACACCAAGATGCATGGAAAGATGACACTGGATAAAATCATTTACTAATAGGTGGATATTGGAGGTACTCACGAAAGACCTAAAAAGAGCAAAGGTAATGAAAAACGCTTGCCTTCTGTGATCTGCAATTGGTCCGCGAAAACAAACGAATAAAATATGAGCATACAAATGAGAACATAGAGAGAGTGGTGTCGGAAGTCGGCAATCTGTCCTTCAAGGCTAAACAGATGGTGGGCTTGGGACTGAAATCCAAGCACAGACTATCGACAATGTGTCCTATCGATTGAGTGTCCAAGGGATCTGGTAACCAGCTCAACAACCAAGTCATCCTTTCTTTAGAGTTTGGTGCGGACATTTCTCTCCCACTGGACACTGTTTAGTTCTATGCTTTATAAATAGTATAGCTTTGAGTACAATTTATCTGGGGTATCCCTCTTGCAAGGATATGCTTCCTAATGACCTTATTCCCCCCTGTCGAGAGCTAAGGTTTAGGCATACGTTCAGTGATCACTTAGTCAGACATCTGATTCGGTTGCTCTTCTGTTGCAGTGGAACAAAGCTATCATAGGGAATGTGCCGGCTCATTCAGATTTATTTTCGGTGGTCCCATCGATCTGCTTTTGAATATTAAAATTTGGAGACTTGACCGTTTATTCGTTTCTGACTCCACAGTAAATTTGGTTTCAGGCTAAAATAATTGTATACTAATATAGCATACCAATATCTGGCCATCACTTGAGCTGGAAATGTCTTTACTGAAAGCCTTGTTAACAGGGTTTTCAAACGTCAGTATACACCGTGTGTATTGATTAATCTCTTTGATGTATTCATCTGCACGACAACTTTGAATAGTATTTCGGTTCCCATTGTATTCGGTCCCCTGTGTGTACTTTCCAAATTCAATCCGCAAATGCTGTTCTCTAATTCCGTCTTTCCTTCAATAACTGCAAAGATTGTGTGTGGTTCCGCGACCGTGTCCTTAGAGTCCAGTACAAAGGATCCTGTTTGGCATCCGAAGAAGGAGACCTGCAGTAGCTCGGATACCAACACTACAATAAATGTGAACGAGAAATTAATAAAAGTGAGTGAAAAATAACTCAGAGTTTATTTTGTAGAACACTTCAATATCACCTACAATAATCGTCACCATAAGAGCGTATCTGATAAATTCAGGAACGGGGGACGCAGTCGCGCTAGAGTTCCAACATCAATAATACGCCAGATGGATGCAGTCAAAAGTTCTACCATTCGGGTGTGGAATAGACAAGAGCACTTGAAACAGAGACCGAACAGCAAAGAATGTATGGCAGTACAGCCTAGACAGAACGAAACAAGAAAGCACGTGTTAAATGGAACAGGTGATGATGCATAGATGCCATTTTATTACAGGATCTATACTGATCTGATGTGCGCCCATGATAGCAAATAGTGTATGTTGTACGTCGATGAAAAGCATATACCTCTGCTGCAAGATAATGAACACATCCAACCACAACTGAATTGCCCGGGTGGCCTAAATATAAATGTCTTCACTGGTGCCATTCTTGTTAATGCTGATTCTATGAATCAGGTGCACATTGCAATCCGTCACTGTTAGGGTACAGTTATTGAGTTTTGTATGAATATTAAAGGAACCACGGGAACACATCAGCTTGTGAAAGCTTACCGAAGCGACTGGGCGAGTTTTCGTAGACTGATCTGGCGAATTTCAAAATAGAAATGCAGAGTCGAAGATTTTCCAATAAAATGTGTTTACAAGTTATCGCTTGACGACGAATATAGGTTTGTTGGAGTGGGCAAAGTTATCGGCCTTTGAGCACTTAGCGCATGATATAGTATAGCTTGTGAACCACTTATTGTGTCTCGATATCCTTCAGCAGTTTTCACGTAAACGTTTTGTACGAAAAATGTCCTAAAATCACTGATATTCGCTGAAGGATCAAAACATTTGTGCATTTTTTTACGTGGATAACTTTCTGTCTTACCGAACGTTCATGAAAATGAATTTTCATTTGTCAACGCGAACAAGAGCCAAGAATTTACTGTAACGGATTGGTTCTACTTACAAACTGAGCATCACAAAAATCACTGTAGTTAAAGATGGCACGATTCGGAATTAAGTCGGAATTGCTAATCGATGCAGCTGAAGAATCCCGGATAGGTTGGTAAACACCTTATACTCCCTACAGCACCTGTTACTTTTGATTTTAATAGGCCATCTGTTACAACCTGAAATAATGCTTTTTAATTCTATCGTTTCACTACGATATCTACTTCGGAAAATGATGACGTTTGGCACTTAAAAATCGATTTCAAAACTTCCAGCGTGAAAGTTGATGTACGTATTGTTGTACATATTTGGTTGTATATGACGTACGTATTGTCCATTCTCACCGCTTCATTTGGGAATCCGGACCATGGTCACACGCTATTCATTCAGCTTGGTATCTAACTGAAAGCAGTTTGAGAGTGTCAGTATCCCATTTATCTGGATAACTAAATGTTAAGCTAAAGTTTTTTTCACCACAGGTTTCAATTGAACTTGGAACGAGAAGGCCGTCCCATGGGCTGATATGCAACATA